AGTTCATAATAGTCGTGGATACCCAAAAGAAACATTTATCCTATTTGGATCAAGCTTATTTGAAATTTGTCGTTTCACATAAACTTTACAACCTCAAATTTTTATGTAAGACATATGTGGTCTCTTACCATTTCATATCTCATATGATGTCTTCTCAACTATTTTGGATGTAACATGGTTAAATGTGTTAGTTGTTATTAATAGAGCATTTTCCCAAAAGAAGTTTGGAAGATCAATGTAACGCCCAGGCTGCCTTCAGGATTACTGACTGACCCCACAAACCAACACGGGTCTTTTCAGCATGATTTGTCCTTACTCACACGCTTTCTGGGAAACTTCCCAGAAGGTCACCCATCTCAGAATTGCTCAAAGTCAAGCACGCTTAATTATGGAGTTCTTATGAATGAGATACCGAAAAGAAGATGCATCTTGTTGGTATAGGTAGTACAAATTAATCCTTATAGGCCTTTCTTCAACCATGCAGTCCCATACCTGCATAGCCTCAAGATACCTCTCATTCTAATGTGGCACCAATTATAGCCCTCTTCGGCCTCGAGTATTACACATGCGGTGCAACCACCCTCTGCCCTCTCCGACCTCGGGTGTTACATGCCCCCCAGCTTCCGCATGGTTCGTCCTCGAACCACATCGTACTGGGAGAGGTCTGGCTCTGATACCATTTGTAACGCCCAAGGCTGCATTCAGGATTATCGACTGACCCCACAAACCAACACGGGTCTTTTCAGTGTGTTTTATCCTTACTCACATGCTTTCCGAGAAACTTCCCAGAAGGTTACTCATTCCAAAATTGCTCCAAGTCAAGCACGCTTAACTATGGAGTTCTTATGAATGAGCTACCGAAAACAAGATGCATCTTCTTTTCGGTAGCTCATTCATAAGAACTCTACAGTTAAGCGTGCTTGACTTGGAGCAATTCTGGGATGGGTGACCTTCTGGGAAGTTTCCCAGAAAGCGTGTGAGTAAGGATAAAACACGCTGAAAAGACCCGTGTTGGTTTGTGGGGTCAGTCGATAATCCTAAAGGCAGCCTGAGGCGTTACAATTAACGCGGCTTATCATAGATCGAACCATGTCTAACAAGGTTTAGTTTCTTCTCTCGGATACATCATTCCATTATGGTGTTCCAAGAGAAGCAAGTTGGGATAGAACTCCACACTCTTTTAGATGGTCATCAAATTCTAGATTTAGATATTCACCACGTCGATTTAATTTAAGGGTTTTAATATTCTTACCTAGTTGATTTTGCACTTCATTTTTGAATTCCTTGAAGTTTCCATACGTTTTTTATTTGTATTTTATTAAATATGCATAACAATATATATTGCAATCATTAGTAAATGTGATAAGTGTTCAAAACCTTCTCTTGAAAGTGTGTTAAGTGGTCCACATACATGAGTATGTATGAGGTCCCAAAGATCATTATCCCTTTCATGCATTTAATATGATAATAATGAGCGGTATCTAGTAACATATCACTGCTACCTAAGTCATGAAAATGCTATGTAATTTGATGAAGCCTTTCAATGATAATTTTTATGTGTACAATTATCTTTTTTTCTCTAATTTCTATATGGAACAAAAGACATGGACAATGTCACCCTTGTCTATTTCAATATTGGGCCCTTAGGCATTTATCATGTTAAGTAGGAATAGAAAAATTCCATCTAGATCACTATTGTATCTCAATATTATTTGTGAATTACCCATCAACCTACTTTAATCATGTTGTTACGAAGATTATTTGAATGGCAATGAAGTACCCAGGTCCACATCTAGGATCCATAGTAGTTTTTGGTTGAAGGGTTGTATATATCATTATCACCTTGAGAATAACTTATGACACTTGAATAATATTCTATGTAGTATTCTCATGGTGGGTCAATCCAATATAAATATTACTCCTAATATGTATATCTATGTAATACTTGACAACTCTTTATTCATGATCCGTGAAATATCAATGATTATATCCACATAATAGTTTTAATGATTTAATGTTATCTCACTTCTCAATAAAGTTTGACTAAAAATACTTTAAGAATAATGTCCTTATGTTTAATAGGGTCTCAAAATTAAATCGCACTAAATTATTCATCTAATGGACTATGTATTCTACAAACTTTATTACTTCGAAAAAACAAACATAAAAAAGAAATGTCTTATTATTATTAGATAATTCGATTCAAGTAACAAGTTATAATAAATTATTAATCTCTAGGATTTACACCAAAAACCGTTATTTATGGTAAAGAATGTACTATTATTTTGGATGAATTTCAAATGACTGTAAGGTCCAAAAAACTTTCATTGATGAAAGATTTAAAAGGTGGAGATAATGGTGAAGGCTTAAGGGTTTCAAGAGTAATGGGTGAGAATGGAGAGAAGTCCAAATCCAATGGTTTTGATAAGTCAAGGTTAAAATGTTTTATTTTTCATAAAATTTGTCACTTCAAGAAGGATTGTCCCGACAGAGGGGACAAGGTTGAATCTGTTTAGATTGCAGTTGTTTCATATAAGTATGATTATGATAATTAGTGTACTAATGGTGTTGAGTTTATAGCATGAAAATATTTTGGTCATGGACTTTAGGTTATTTTATCATATGTTCCCTATGAAATATGACTTTGAGATTTTGAAGCTGAAGGAATGTGTATTCCATCAACTCGATGACAATAAGGCTTGTAAAATTCATAGTATTAATACAACCAGACTGAAAATAATCAATGATCATGAGTTCCTTCTACATAATGTGAGGTGTGTGTTCTCAAGCTCATGCGAAATTTTTTATCGATAAACATGTTTAATTATCTAGGATATTGCACTAAAGTTGAACATGGGTGTTGGAAATTTTGCATGTTGGATTGATCATGTCAAAAGGGTCTAAAATATGCGAGTTATATATTTTAGAAGGTTCCACTATTATTGGTGATACATCATTAATTAATGAAGGATTTCATAACAATAACAAGCTATGGAATTTGAGATGAGGGCATGCTAATGAAAGAAAATTCGACAAATACCTAGAGATTGTTTCAGAGAAGTTTAATGAGTTTCGCAAAGAAAATGGTATAAATAAGTGCATAATCATTGCTTACAAGTTACTAGTAGTTGAGTTTCCAAAGAGTTTTGAGGTAAGGTTGGAAATTAATCTGCTAACTTGGTCGAAATATGTCAATTTATAAGAATATACTTTAAGACATCTATGGAGTTTTGAAGTGGAAAAACATTAGACTACTTTAATCTAAAGGTATCCAAAGTTTTTTCGTTTGCATAAATCAAGCTAGATCGCTTTGATGATAAGTATGTGGTGGAAGAGTAGAGACCTAGAGAAGAAAGAATAACAAAAGGTATGGTGAAGAAAACTCTATTTGAGGTGGAGGTTCCTACTAGTGGGACTAGAGAAGAAAAGGAAGTTAATACTTCTGATTCTAGCTCTAGTGAGAGAAAGATTTATAGTGGCTCCTGTCCTGATTATCATTTGACTCACGATATGGTAAGGAGAAAAATTTTACCTTCTCAGGGATACACTTATATTAACCTTGGTTGTTATGCTTAAAATGTGGCTAAAGAAAAATAAAACTGAGAATCAGATACCTTAAAGGATGCATTTGAAAAACAAAAGGAATTAAATATGGTCAAAGGTTGAGAATGGTAAAAGACATTCATTGATGAAGAATCATACTTGTAGACTTTCTTGGCTACCTAAGAAGGATATAACGTCCATGTTCAAGTGTATGCAGGTGCATTAATCAAGGTTCAAGTGTTGTTCGGACTTTATCAAATTCATTGAATAATGGTTCAAGCTTTGGAGAGAGGAGTAAGATGATTGATGGATAAATTGACATCACCATTAATTTTGACTCAAGGTGGAGATTTGTGTAAGTAAGCCTCAAAACCTCAAGTGATCAATGGGAAGTTGTGTTCAGTTGACTTGGTTAATGGTCAATACCCAGTCAAATGCCAAAAGTCAGTCAATGGTTAACAATCAATGGCTTAGTAAACGATTTGAATTGCTTGATAAACTCGGAGGAGGCTCAGTGAATTTGTGGATTGAGTTGGAAAGTCTGTCCCATTCGAGTTTTATGACATTATAAATATGGATCTTTGTCACTTTTGTTAGTAAGAAGGGATGAAGAAAGAGGGAAGATATGGTAATTCTTGTGAGAGAAACGTGGAGAGACAAGGCTAGAGATTTTAAGAATTCGTCATTCTTAGAATTTGGGAGAGCTTTGGTGGTATCTAAGAAGATTGAGAATATTTCTAAATACTTTGTGTTTGTGTGATTCATATATATTGAGAGTTTGAGCAACACTTAAGTAAAAAATAGAGTTTGTTCTTAAAAACTTAAGATGTTATTTTTTAACTCATTTCTAATCACTTGTAATAACTTTTTAAATATAGTGAATTGGAGAATTCCTCTATTTCTAATAGTAGATTGTCTTGACGAAATTGGATAAACATATTATCTATACTTGTATTTTATCATTTTCTTACTTGTGTGAATTTTCTAAAACTCTTCTGTGTGTATATTAATTTTGCTTAAGATTATTTATTTTAGTTGCATTTATTCTATATCTCATACATCAAAAAGATATTGGCATAATTGAACATTTCAATCACAACAAAATTTAAACAACCGCATGACCAAAATCGTAGTTTTGTCATTTAACTACAAGCCTTTTCTATCATAGTCCTTCCACTTTTTGCATAAATAAATGTTCTTTATCTTGTGAGTACATATATTTTCACAAATAATAGTAATTCCTTCTAAAAAAAAATATTATGAAAAAGCAATTGTGTTGGTGAAGAAAGCCTACTCCCACAATGCTTGGAAATAATGGAACATAAGTGAAAAAAATACATCACTTTCCAAATGAAATTCTTTGTATGCTGCAAACTAATGAAACATGTTGGCTCTCTTGCATGTGGTAAATAACATAACCCTCTTTGATTGTGTAATCTTGTTAATTTTACTAGTTTCTAAGTATATCTCTTCTTGGTTTCACTATACAATATAACTCCTATGATAGTAAGTACATAGCCAAGCATTCCTATCATTGAAATAGGATTTTGAAATATCAAAATTGAAATCACCACAGCAACTGCCCCTTTTGCATTTCCTAACACCTGAAAATATTTTGACAAAATATAATCACTTTGTAAGAACTTTCTATCTTAATTAAGATTTTAAAAACCATAATCTTTGTTATGTTTAATCATAATTAAAATCATATGATATTGAGACATACTTGAAGGGTGAGTGCACTTGTATATTTGGTCACCAAAAAATTAGTGAGGTTCACAAAATATGCAAGAGAAGAACTCAATAGCAGATACCAAACAATTCTGAAATCCTCTCTAGCAAGTTCTATCGTAATCCGAATCACGTTTCCCTCCATTAACAATGTTGCAGGAAGTAGCACCAACATTGCTATAGGTGCCATATAAAGTAGCAGGTTCATTGAATTCAACTTTTCTCTGCAAAACATCAACATTATTCTAAGTTAGTTTACAATAGTTGTTGGACTAGTAGCACTTATAGCATGTAACACCGACACTTCTGAATGAATATACCTTTGGTGTTTGACGTAGAAAATGAAACAATACTAACAAACTATGAAGAGCTGAGCTAGCTAGAGCAAATATAGGAGATAGTTAGAAAGTTGGTTTCACTTAGTTTTCAAGGTTGTTATAGTTAGTTAACTTGTCATACAACCTACTATCTAATATGTGTGCAACATGATAGTTATAGTGCTCCTCCATCCTTTTGTATATAATGTGATGCTTAATGAATGAATACACAAGAGAAACACTTCAATCGTTTTATGTTTTCAGTTAAATTTCAGTATGAACTTCATGAACGATAATAGACACCAAACACATATGATTACATTCAACTAATTTATCTTCTCAAATTATTGGTGGCGTCAATGTAACACTTATGTGTCGACATTCATGTTATTGTTCAAATGATGCAGACAATCTGATCAAAATTGGACGACTCTTGTTCTAAATGTTTTAAATTTGATTGAAAATAACAAGTAGTAATATGAGTCTTTAAATCTTAATCAGACAGTCTGAATTGCTTGACTGTGATTTCTCGAATGCAGAGAGAATTTAAATCCAAAAAAATATCATTACCCTTCTGATGACAACAAAATAGCTTGAAGCACTGATTTAAATGCTCTTGCAGCGGTTGATGCAACACAAATTATAAATCCAAATAGATGAAAACTTGGTTCACTCTGCACCAAAAATGTTTATATATATATGTCAGACACATGTAACACCGACATCTCTGAAAACACCGTATATGTATGTGTGGGATTGAGGTAAAACCGATTTCATCATGGTTGGATACCGAATTTTCAAAATTGAAAAAATATAACAAGAAAAACATGAAGATGAAAAATTATTTACCCCACTAGCAATGATGACACCAGCCACAACAGGCAAGAGGGTGCAATAAGTGACCCAAGCTTCTCTTTTTCTACTAACAACATAAGCAAAAACGGCAGTAAAAAACGGTGTCGTAGCTCCAATAGCTTGATTAAACGACACTGGAATATAATTAAGCGACACGTTCCCACAAACCACTGAGAAACAAAAAACAACACTCAATCCACAGATTTTGAACAACTGGTTCTTGGATTGAACACTTTGCAAAGGTACAATATCCAAAACTGAAATACCAACGTAGCTGAAAATAGAACACAACATCATGTGACACATGGTGAGAAAAACAGGGTACTTGTAACCGTAGTTTGTTAACAAGTATTTGTTCATGAGAAGAACACCAATGTTTGAAGTGTACCATGAAATCACTACCATGATTGTTGGCCATGGAATTGTGTTTTTCATCATCTGGGCCATGTTGGATTTGATCAAAATTCAATCTTTTTTATGAAAAAAAAATGATTGTTCAAAGAAATTGAGACAAAGAGAAGCTTGGATTGATTGTAAATGAATGCAATCACTCTAGTTCAATGGTGATTTGTGGGTTTGAACTCATTTTCAGAACTTGGAAATGGAAAGTGAAACTCAAACATTTGGTGTGGGTGAATGAAAGTTTGTGTAACAAGGTTGTAAGGTGTTGGTAAATTTGAAAATGATTTGGATGAGACACTTTGCCTGATTATGTAAATAAAAATAAAAATAAAAATAAATAAAAGTAAAAATAAAATGATTATGTAAATTTACACATATATTAAATGTGTTGGTTATTTAGTGAGTATGACAACCGACAATAATATACTTTAATATAGAAACTCATTAGTTAATTTCATTTATAATGAAAGGTGTAGCACATTATGATAGACAATTAAGGGTTAACTACGGATAGACAATTAACCAAGGTGTGAGCAAATTACATGTAACTCACTACTAATTAACATGTGAAATTCTATTAATTGAAACTATTAAATAGAAAAATTAATGAACCATTAAAAAACTTTGTAAAGAAAAGGTAAAATATCCATTTTGTCTAAAACTTGTAGTTCCAATTAGACAGTGACAAGCAAATTGCAGGCCTATAGTTAATTACAATGACATTTGGCTTCATGTATAGGAACCATAGTTTGGATTGGAGATTAGAGATAAAGATTTTTCTCGTGGAGTTTAAATACTTAGCCTAATATAATTCTAAACTTTTCTTTTTTGTTGTCAATTAACAAGAAGAGAAAGATGAAAAATGTGTCACAATCAAGTTATTCGTCATTGTGAACATCGATTGCTACTTGAAAAATCACTTAAGATATTGTCAAGCTAAGATGTATTCATTGGATCTAACAATAATAATTATGTTTTAAGAAATGTTTAGAAAAAAATAAACACATTAAGGCTGCTATATTTTTTCAATAATATGAAAACAGTAAAATAGAGATTATGCCAAGAATATGAGCACTAGAAAATCTATCAAGTTTTATATTTACATTGTTTAGAGCGAATATAAATTGGAAAGCAAATAAACAATGGGTAGTTATTCTATTTACTATTTAATGGAGGATATTTTCCTAGTTGAAGGAGTAAGAAGATTAAAAGATATTATTGAAGAGTTAGGAATTACTCAAGTATCTCTGAAGAAATATTGTGGTAGTTAAAGTATAATTCATTTGGATAATTTTTATGTATTTTATGAGACAATAAAATACACATCGAAATTTATTATCCCTTCATTAAAGATAAGATAAAGAAAGCTAAAGGATATTTTTAGTTGACAAAGTTGCTTTGGAAGGCAATTTGAATGACGTGTTCATCAAATCATTATCTAAGTTAAGGTTTAACAATTTTTTAGATTTGATCAATTTTGTCAAAAAAAAAAAAAATTTCAAGTTTAGAGAGATCATTAAGGTAGGTAGTTGCTAGGAAAATTGAAATCGTCATCATTTTTTTTAGTCAATGTTTGAGATTTGTGGAGTCTCCCTCAAAAAAATAAAAAATTTCTTCAATTCAATTCTGCCATAACTGACATGCGTTTAGATTGAAACATGCACTACTAAAAAAATGACATTTGAGAAAATATTTTTATATTAGGTATTAAAATATATGTTATAAAAAATAAAATTAAAAACATTTTATATTAGGTATTTATTTGCAATGATATAAATAATATAAAAAAAATATTTTTCACTTTCTATTACATCGGGCCATTTAATCTACCGATGTAAAAGGTTTCGTGAAAAAAACAGGGTGACATTTTTATAAATAAGAAATCAGGTGGCAGAATTGTAAATAAAAAATTGGCCAGATATTACATCGGTCCCTGCAGTCCAACGATGTAAAAAGTCCGTGGCAGATTGGTAATATAAAAAATATATTAAGAACCTTACATCGGGGCATTCTAAAAACCGATGTAAAAAACATCAACGCCCGAACCTTACATCGGGCCATTCTTTAAACCGATATAAAAAACTACCTTACATCGGGTCATTCTGTAAACCAATGTAAAAAACATCAGCACCAAAACCTTACATCGGGCCATTCTAAAAAACGATGTAAAAAAATCAACCGCCCGAACCCTTACATCGGGCCAAGGGTTGCATCGTTGTAAAAACACACACACACACACACATGCACACACGCGCGCGCGCGCGCGCGCGCGCGCACACACACACACACACATATATATATATATATATATATATATATATATATATATATATATATATATATATATATATATATATATATATATATATATATATATATATATATATATATATATATATATATTTCAACATTATATATATATATATATATAATGTTGAAATAACCCCTAAATGCAAATTATTTCGTCACTGTTTAACTTCTCTCGCCTACGCCGTTCCGCCCCCGTATCGCCTACGCCGCTCCGCCGTCTCGCCTACGCCGCTCCTCACAGATTTCACGTCTCCTCGCTGCCGGCTGCACGAAGACATCCTCCGCCGTCCATTCACTATCCGTTTCGCCGTCCGTTCGCCGTCTTCGAAACATCCTCCGCCGTCCAACTACGATTCCGGTACGAAACTTTCTATTTTGTTCAACTTCATTGTATATCTAGGAATTGGTTGAAAGCTTATATATAATTATTTCTAAGATGTTGGCTTCTAGGTTGAAGAGGGTCATGGGTAAGTTGATATCTCAATGTCAAGCAACTTTTGTATTCCAAAGACAAACATTGGTATTTTAGTTTCTAAGAGTTATATATACAAAAAAAGTTTTTAAGATATTCTTGTTTCTTTGTTTGTTACTGAGATTCATTATAAAAAATTAGAAGTACATAGAAAAATAATTAGAAGATTATACTATGAATCCATTACTTTGTTCATATATGTTTTTTAATTACTAAACAATTTATTATTATTAGAGAGGTTAATTAAGTCTAATTAGTTATAAATAGTGTATATTTTATATAAAGTTAAGAATATAGTACATGTTGTGTATAATTAGTCATTTTTTTTCATTAGAGAAATTGTCTATTTAGAAACCTCCGAAAAAAGCGTTAGTGGTCCTCTCAGAAACACACAGTTTATCTTTAACCTATCAAACTTAATAAAGTTATCACCTTGCCATTGAAACTTGATTCTATTTTTCTTTCTCCGCGAAGCAGCGCAACTTGCAATCTCGGAATCTCGGATACTATAACTAGGTTGTGCTTATTTTTCAATGCAATTTGTTGTAAAGCCATTGATCCACTAAAGTTAGACGATTTGGAAAATGAGGCTGCAGTTATCTTGTGCCAATTAGAGATGTATTTTCCTCCTTCACTTTTTGACATTATGGTTCACTTGATTGTTCATCTAGTAAGGGAGATTAGATTATGTGGTCCAATTTTTTTACGGTGGATGTATCCAATAGAGTGATACATGAAGATTCTAAAAGGGTATACAAAAAACCCACACCGTATGGAAGCATCGATTATTGAGAGGTACATTGAAGAAGAAGCAATTGAGTTTTGTTCTAACTATTTGTCAGGAGTGGATGTTGTAGGAGTTCCCAAGTCTCGTCATGATGGAAGATATGAGGGTGTGGGTACACAAGGTTTAAAAGTCAAGAGCTTAAGTATTGATGTGGTTGTTCAAGCGCATTTGTATATATTGAATAACATAGATGAAGTTCAACCTTACTTATCTGCTCACAAAAGCATGATAAAGAAAAAGTACCCCAAGATGAATGAAAGAGGGTTGTTAAAAGAGCATAATAAGAGTTTCTCTGAGTGGTTTAAAGAAAGAATTGCTAATGAAGATAGTGTTTCTAATATAATTAAGTGGTTGTCTTATGGGCCTAAATGTAACATAATAACTTGGAGTGGATATGATATTAATAAAACCTCTTTTTATACAAAGTCAAAGGATGATCGTAGTACCACGTAAAATAGTGGGGTAATGATTGTGGCCGAGTCCATGCACTTCTCTAGTGCTAAAGATAAAAACCCGGTTATGGCATCTACACCGTACTTTGGGGTGATTGAAGAGATTTGTGAAGTTAATTATGTTGTGTTTAAAGTTCCTGTATTTAAATGCAAATGGATTGATATCAACAGTGGTGTAAGAATCGATGAATTTGGAGTTACACTGGTTGATCTTAGCAAGTTAGCTTATGCGAACGAACCATTCATCATGGCATCTCAAGCAAAACAAGTGTTTTATGTCACAGATCCTTCTAATAAAAAGTGGTCAGTGGTTTTACAAGGAAAGGTCCATGATAGTGATGAAAATCATGATGAGAATCTTGATATTTCTGAAACTCGTCCTTTCTCAACAAATGTGACTACATTCATTGAAGAAAATGAAGGGGATGATGTGCATGCTATTCCCATAGACCATGAAGAAGGGATATGGGAGGACTAGTAAGATTTTTTGTATAAGTTAATTCCACGTTACTTTATTTTCTAATTGTTTTTATTTTGTGTTTAATTTTATTTCTAATTGTTTTTATTTTGTGCTTAATATTATTTCTAATTATTTTTATTTTGTGTAAACAGATACATGAGTGATTCAAACGACAATCCTTCTTCATCTAGTAACCCCAATAAAAGAAGAGTTAAAGGTCCCACTTTCATGACACAAATTGGCAAAGTTCATCAAACATGTGAAAAGATAAAGGTCGAGTTTAATGCAAGAACCTATGAATGTATTGGTGTTGGTAAAAATGCTACACATCTCAAGAGTTATATAGCATGTCTTGCTCGGCAGTACTGTAGTATTGTGAAAAATTATTGGAAAGAAGTAGATGAAGGCGTAAAAGATGCTATTTGGACTGATATTCAAGTATTTTAAATACAATAATTTATTATATTTTATAATCATATACTAATTAACAACATATGACATATACTATATTTGTAGGCTCATTTTACTATTCCAGAATGTAAAGATCCAAAGAAGGATAGGTTG